TGTGACACAAATAGAAACCAAAGGACACGAAATCTCGAATAAAGTTAGAGTTTAGGGCAGCGGGTACAATGGACCAATAATTTTGTGTGAAAAAATACCAGCATTACTTTCAGGCGATATCTGAAATACACAAAAGGCGAACTTCTTGCTTTTTATGTTGATTTCGTTGACGAATAAAGCCAAATATCGTAGACAAGCAAACCATATAGATGAGTCTAAATTTGGAGATACAGAGGGGCTTCTTGCTTTTGGAGATGACGCAAAATATTTAGGGGTTCAAATTAACTAAAAACAGAAATGTTTTTCCGATTACACAATTGAAGACAATCGACCCGCCTGTGAAGAGAGTTAAGGACAGGGAAGAATTCTAGCATTTTGGATGACCATTGGATTAATTTATCTTTAAAATAGACTACAACAACTAACAGCCCGACGGAGTGCATAAATGTTGGGCAAATTTCCTTAGTCAAAATCCTAATTTCAAAAGAGAAATCTTCCAATATGGATTTGACATAAGGGGGCTTCTGACATATGTAGTATAGGGTAGGGTATAACAACGTCGGCCCCGCACGTCTATAGCCTTTGCTTACATGTTTTATTATACAGTTTTGGACCATATGACCATGAATTTGTATCAGATTTTAATTTGATTAAAACAAAAAATATCTACCTGATAGTTCTTTGTCTCGAACTCGCTCAGAAGATGTAGTGTCTTGATTTAAATATTTTGTGTAATATTTGTAAAGTTACGTATTTTCAGGACATTAAAATACAGTTACGTCATCTGAATTTTCAACATGTTCCAAAATTATATATCAAAACTAGTATGATTATGTTCGAGGCCCTTGAAAATATCTGGCCCAGCTATGGTAAAGTTTTTTTAGTTACCTCACAACTCATTTACCCCTGTCTCATATTTTTAGTTCTTCTTGTATAATCTACGCGTTTTTATACCCTACACCACAAGGTGGTCAGGGTATTATGTCTTTGTGCATTTGTTTGTAACAGGCAGAAGGAAACGAGATAGACCCATAGTTCCTTTTGATGATCTGCATAGAATCACATTCTGAGTCGATTTATGCATGTCCGTCCGTCCGTCCGTCTGTCCGTCCGTCCGTCCGTCTGTCCGTCTGTCCATGTATTTTTGTAAACAAAGTACAGGTCGCATTTATTGCCCGATCCAGATGAAATTTTGCACAGATCTTTTGTTTGGCCCAAGGACGAACCCTATTGAAATTGGAGATAATCGGTCAAATTTTAGATATATCTCCCATATATATCTTCGTCCGATTTGCCTTTTATTGTGCACCAAACGTGTAATATCAGCCCGAATTGTATGGAATTTTGCACATACACCCAAATTAGGCCTGAAAATATGTATGCCAAATTTGATCGAAATCGGTTCAGATAAAGCTATAGCTCCCATATATATTGTTCATCCGATTTGTTTTTTTCTGTCCACCGCCGCCGTAATATGCACTCTGTAACAACAATATTTGGGGAAATATATTAAATGCAGCTCAGAAATACATTTGCTAAATTTTATCGAGATCGGTTCAGATTTGGATATAGCTCCCATATATAACTTCGTCCGATTTACCTTTTATTGTGCACCAAACGTCTAATATTTGTCCAAATGGGATGGAATTTGGCACTTACGACCGAATTGAGTCTAGAAGCTAGTATGTCAAATTTGGTGAAGATCGGTTCAGATATAGCTATAGCTTCCATATATATTATTCATCCGATTCGTTATATTTGTTACCCACAACCGTAATATGCACTACGTAACAACTATATTCAGGGAAATATATCAAATACAGCTCAGAAATATATTTGCCAAATTTTATCGAGATCGGTTCAGATTTGGATATAGCTCCCATATATATCTTTATCCGATTTCAAATTAATTGTGCACCAAATGGGCAATACAATTCCGAATTTAAAAGATACAAATACTTCAGCATATTTAGTCCTTTGGATTTTAAATTATAATTATAATCATAGCGTGTATGATTGAATTCTCCCATAAAAACTTTTAATTGTTATGTGGAGCTCTACTAAATTAGCAAAGTGGTGTAGGGTATCATAAAGTCGGCCCCGCCCGACTTTAAGGCTTTCTTTACTGGTTTTTTTTCTATTTGTCTCACAATGTAATAAAACATACTTGAAGAGAGCTTCCGTCGGCAATATAAATTATAGGACCTTAATGGTTATGATAGCTTTATTTGCAAATTTTAATGAAATAAATAATATTTTTAAAGAAGTGGTTTCATGCACTAAGAACCCTATAACTAAACATGGCTGGAGATTGATAAATTTGCCAAAGGAATGCTTTTACTCAATTATAATCCTAAATTTAAGTATGGTTGAGGAGCTAGTAAGTATATATTAAATTCAGCTGGGCCAATCGTTTTATAATCTCCACCAGATGAAATGTTGATTTATGGCCAAATCGTCTATCCCTCCCTAAATCCCTAAAATTTGAAAATTCCCATACATTTAGATAGGAGTTAAAGTGGCCACTGAAAAGGCGAAACTTAAAATTAAATATGGGTTGATTGGAACAAATACAAAATTTAAAACAATTCCGTTTACTAATGTCGATTATATCGAAAAAAAAGAGGTATCGATATATGTGAGCTCTATGAAGACCCTGACTTGCATGGACAATTTTCTGTCCTAGGTTAAAGTATCCACAAAGAACTTCACGTACGAAATTTGAAACCATTCCGGTCATAATGTCTCTAGTACCATAAAAATACCGAATATATGGGGCTACACGAAAATTTGGAACGACATGACCCATTTACGAACTTAACCTGTATTCTACACATGTGTATAGTGTTCAAAAATTTAGTCTTTTATCTCAATTCATTCGAAACACACAGACGGGCATCGATAATTCGACTTATAATTTTACGCTGATCAAGAATAGGTATAAATTGTTGGGTCTGACATAAGTATTACAAACGGATGACAATTTTAATATAGCCTTCACGAGTTGGAAGGAATTTGTTCCAAAAAAGGGTAAACTCCTAATGTTGGGATAATTCTGTTGAAAATATGGAAAAATCGCCAAAATAACAAACAGCGTCGATTATTTACCTCTGAAATTAAATTTATTTACGAAAAATAGTATGGGGATTTACTGCATATTTTTTTCTGTCAATCATTATGTCTTCTAATACCAAATTTGAGAAAATGTCATTTTATTAACTTATCAAAGTACCGCATATATTTTGGACTTATATGGTTCTACATGCTGAGAACACATTTCCAATTTACATAAAATCCGGTTCAATCCTTTACTTACATGTCCCATTTTCAGTACCAAAAAAGTACTAGAGGCCTAAAATGCATCTGATAAAAAATTTACAAAGCTTTTGTTTGTGGAAACTACACCTTGAAACATTACGATTTAGAAAAAGTATTCTCGAATTTCAAATACAATGTTTCGAATAACATCTGAAAGAGGTGTGGAGTGATTTCCACAGACTAATGCTGAACAAGAATATATATTTAATTACTGAGAATTCGGAATATGAGCATATGGGGATTTATAGATTTTGACTTAAACTGGACACATCAACTGCGAACCAAAAATTCGAAAAAATATGCTATTCATTACGAAAATGTGACTGAAGCTTTAACACATTGAAAATTGGGGTCGGACCCAAAATTGTCATAACCAGACAATATTCTGCTAGTAGGTTTCCTACCCTCTGTGAAAAACAAATGCTGTTTAATACACAATCCGGAAAGCTCAATCAGTACTTGGTATTAATAAAAGTAAGATATTTTACGTTCCGATTGCTTAAGGAATAGCCAAATTTTTCCACCTAATATGTAAATATATTATTAAAAAAATATTCTTAAAGAAGTGGGTTTCATACACTAAGAACCCTATAATTAGATCGATAAATTTAACCAAAGGAAAGTTTTTGCTCAACAATAATCCCAAACTCAAATATAATTAAAAAGCAAGTAAGTATATGTTAAGTTTCAATACTCTCTGAAATTTCAAATTACAGTTGGGGCTATATCAAAAGTGGACATATATATGGAATATTTGTACGTGAGTTTAAATATTCAAATAGGGCCCGAAACATCAAAACAAAGCTGATTTGATTGAAATTGTTACCAAAAACTGAGATATACAGAAAATCAGGAGAAACCGTTACATGGGACTATAACTAAATTCGAACCAGTATGACCTATTTTGAATAGCAAATATCTTAAGAATGCTACATACGTATAAGTCAAACTTCTTAAATTCATAATGAAAATTTTTACCTTTATCTTGATTCCAACAGCCGGACAAACGAACGGATATCGTTAAATCGATTTCTGGCATTTAAAAAAAATATATACTTTTAAGAGAAGCTTAGACGAATGTATTAAGAGTTCTAAATTCATCTAATTTCCTTAATATAATTTTATTATCACCACAGACAACTTTGCTTGACACAGATGTTAAAGGTGGACAAATAATATTCATTGCTTTAAGAACGAAACAATTACTTGCTTACTTAGAATTATTTCTTCAAAATCAATGATTTGAATTCGCAAAAATAAGGAAAAGTTTACCTAAAGTAGACAGTTTTAATTTCAGAGGTAAATAAATCAATGAATATAAAATCATTTCCAATGGCATGAAATTATTTGAAATACTTTTTTATAGTATTTAGAATAAACAACGCTGTTATGTGAAATGGATAAACAATTGAGAAGAAGAAGACGAAGGAAAATCCACTCAACATCTTATCTAAACAAACCAACCCACCTTAAAGCAGCGTTTCAATAATACAAAAAAAAACGGTTTTATTTTTTAATTTTCAATTATGCAAATATTGGCAAAATGTAACAGTAAACATTTGCATATTTTAAAATACAGAAAAAAAAAACAAAGGCCAGAAGAAAGAATTTTTTGCAGACTTTACATTAAAATGCGTATCAAATGTTCATTCGCAGGGATAAATAGGACATAAAAAACTTACCTTTTTTGTAAATCACTCTATTAGCGTTAAGGGCCCGAGTCTTGGTCTTGGCGAATTTCGCTGCAGCTTGAGATGGTGGGTCAGGTTGTTGTTTCTGTTTAAGGACGGCTGTGCTTATTTTTTGTTTCTTTATTTGTATTTTATATCACAGTGAGACACTTAGTGAAAAGTGAGTGAATAACAACAACATAACTGTCACTTTTTTTCGTAACGTAGTAAATCTCACAAATTGCGTGAATGATTGTCCATTGGGCTAAACAGCAATCCTTGTTGGGGAGATTTCACTGGCTTTCGTTTTATTTCTGGGTATTTTGTCGTTTTGATATTTAGTTTGCGCACACTTCTAATGCCCGGCGTTGGCATAAAACAAAAAGATGAAGGCTCACGATAAATGCACTCACACCGAGCTACATATATACATACATACACTTCGACACTGTAGCGGCAATATTCACCAGAACAGATTAGATTTAAAACTTAACAATTTACATTAATTCCCGAGTATTCAACACAACAAACGTTTAGAACTTTGTTAACGGATGGTTGGTCGGTCGGTCGGTCGTTTTGCTAGTTGGTTGGGCTCCCGTCATCGAGATTATTTAGATAGGAGACGAAGACGCGCGCGCTTTTCAACATTTAGCATAAAGTGTATTTATTCATCAACGTCATTTTATTCGCAACACAAAAACTCATTTACATTTAAGTACAATTTGTAAATGGCTTAAAAATTTGTACGGACGACCGTTTTACAGATGAGCGAGCATAATTGTCTGGACCGAAAAAACAACAACAACTACTAAACTGGGCGGACGCCCTCCGAAACGAAAACAAGCAGAAGAATACCAAAAGCAATTGTTGCTATAATGCCCGTTGTTGTTATTTTGACCTATTGGAGATTTTAGCCAGCTGTAGATTTATTGAAGATTCTGTTTCATCGTCGTGGTCTGGTCTTCTTCAAATTAATGAATTAATTGGCATTTGAAAATGATAATTTGTATGTATGTTTATATTTGCATAATTTGTTTGGTTAATTTTGTTTTCTTTATTTCTCTTTTTTTGGTTTTGCTCCTCTTTAAATTCACTGTTTGCTTGCCTGCTAGCTGCCTGGCTTTGATGTTTTCTGGTATTTTTTGTTTCTGGTTAAAAATACCATGCATTAATTAGCCCAAAAGCAATTTCATAAAAATCTTATCTATTTTAATGAATTTGATATGTGATTCGTGTTTGCGATAATAATTTTTTGACAGCTCGAATCGATTTGGCGAGAAAAAATTCCTTGTTATTTTTTACGTTTGCTCTTTGATGATTTATATTCTGTTTTTTCGTTTTCGTTTTTGTTATTTTTGTTTTGCTTGCGGATATGTTTACAGGTTCAAAGGAATAGATTTTTTTGTTTTAATTTTATTTTTGAAAATGATTTGATTTGCTCTTCGATATGTTTTGCTATGATTACTTTTCTTTGAATTGTGTTTCGTTGTGAAGGTGTTCAATGTAATTTTCATAGATTCAGTACAGCTGAGTAAATTATCTGGAAATAGAAAATAGAAAGTAAAGCGGGATTATAATAAATGACAATTTAAATGTCAACAGATTCTTAGAAGCTAAATTAAATATTAAAGAATTAAGAATTTAACCATTTCTAATAACAACTAAAAAAGCAGCTAAGTTCGGCCAGACCGAACTTTCAATACCCTCCAACATTTGGAGGGAACTTAAAAATTTTCAAAAACAAAATCGGAAAATTAGCTCTTAATTGAAAACCGTTATATGGGGACTAAACGAAGACGTGGACCTGCTTACGATTTTTATACCCTACACCACAAGGTGGTCAGGGTATTATGTCTTTGTGCATTTGTTTGTAACAGGCAAAAGGAAACGAGATAGACCCATAGTTCATTTTGATGATCTGCATAGAATCACTTTCTGAGTTGATTTATGCATGTCAGTCTGTCCGTACGTCCGTCCGTCTGTCCATGTATTTTTGTGAACAAAATGCAGGTCGCATTTATTATCCGATTGAGATGAAATTTTCCAAACAACATTTTTTGGCCCAAGGACGAACCCTATTGAAATTGGAGATAATCGGTAAAAATTTAGATATAGCTCCCATATATATCTTCGTCCGATTTGCCTTTTATTGTGCACCAAACGTGTAATATCAGCCCGAATAGTATGGAATTTTGCACATGCAACCAAATTAGGCCTAAAAATAAGCATGCCAAATTTGATGGAAATCGGTTTAGATATAGCTATAGCTCCCGTATTTATTGTTCATCCGATTTGATATTTTTGTCCTCCACAGCCGTAATATGCACTCCGTAACAACGATATTTAGGGAAATATATCAAATGCAGCTCAGAAATACCTTTGCTAAATTTTATCGAGATCGGTTCAGATTTGGATATAGCTCCCATATATAACTTCGTCCGATTTACATTTTATTGTGCACCAAACGTCTAATATTTGTCCAAATGGGATGGAATTTGGCACATACGACCGAATTGAGTCTAGAAGGTAGTATGCCAAATTTGGTGAAGATCGGTTCAGATATAGCTATAGCTCCCATATATATTGTTCATCCGATTTGTTATATTTGTTACCCACAGCCGTAATACGCACTCCTTAACAACGATATTCAGGGAAATATATCAAATACAGCTCAGAAATATCTTTGCCAAATTTTATCGAGATCGGTTCAGATTTAGATATAGCTCCCATATATATCTTTATCCGATTTCAAATTATTTTTGCACCAAATGGGCAATACAAGTCCGAATTTCAAAGATACAAATGCTTCGGCATATTTAGTCCTTTGAACTTTAAATAATAATTATAATCATAGCGTGTATGATTAAATTCTCCTCTTTGCTCTACTAAATTGGCAAAGTAGTGTAGGGTATCATAAAGTCAGCCCCGCCCGAGTTAAGACTTTCTTTACTGGTTTTTCTTTAGAGATGGTATTCAAAGTCCAGTTCCAGTTTTGATTTTTTCCTGCCCAATTTTATTTGTCGAGCAAATAAACCCTTGCGGTATGCAGTCTAAAAATAATTTGACATTGGGCCAACAAAATACAAAAGATAATTTGTTATTTTTCATCTAGAAATTCTTAGCATATTTCTTTCAGTTTATATCACACTGAATAGATCCAAAAATAATTACAGGAAAAAGTCGTGTGGAATGAACCACCGTCGTAACTAGAACTATTTCGGGGGAAGGGCTAACCTACATAAACTGAGATTTTCCTTAGACCCCCTCAGGCAAGGAAGGAAGTATGAAGTATGGCAATAGATCTAAAAATAGAAGAGACATGTATCGGCGTTTTGAAAGTTCAAATACCAAACAAATACCCCAATATTTTTTGAAAATTTCGAGTGGAGATTCCTTAAAATCAGCGTATTTTAAATATAAAGTGTTTTTGGCAAAGTTATAATTATAATTAACTATTTACGGGCTACACCAAAACGTCGACCTATATTTAAAGTTTTTTTCAATCAGTTTTCTACGCAACAAGGAATTAAAATACAAAAGTTGGCCTAAACTAAATGGAAAATATGACTAAAATTAAAAATCTTCAAATCGGGGCTTTACCTTATATAGTGACCATACATAAAAGTGGAAAAGACCCGTTTTTTTTAACAAATTCCTTTTAAAATAATCTAAAGCTCCCCACTCATTTTCAGATCTTTATATTAAATTTAGGGACATATTCCCATAATATTTGGGTTCCCTTCTATATTACCAAGGCCCTGTAGAGGCATTAAAAAGGTTACCCGAAACTATTTTGGAGTTTTAACGCATAAACTAAGTACAATCAAATCCACTTGATATTTTCCACAATCCATACAGGCAATTGGACAGTGAAATTAAAGAAAGTTGAACGAGAACTCGGATAAAGTGCTACATTTTTCGAAAATATATATTATTTAAACAAAAATTGGTGATTGCCTATGGTACAATTTATTTTTTAAAGAGACTCATAATGAACTTTGATCTAAAACAGTTCTTCCCTTGACACTTTCGCCAAAAAAAAAAAATAATAATTATTAAGGGATATTCTGACCAAGAAAGAAAACTTGTTAAATGGGCAGAGAAAAATGTAAACACAGAATTTTATTTATAATATTTAAATTTCGAAAATAATTTTCTGAAAAATTATTCACGGCATTCACTTTAGGCTTAAAAAAACATTAATGTTTCTTTTATGCATCAATTCAAAAAAAAAAAAAAAAAATAGAGAAATAGAGAAATATTGTTAAAAAATTGGGAAATATTTTCCTTGACAACTTGATACACATAAGTATAAATTTCTTGACGACTAATAATGAAATTTGATGAAAAATATTTTTGTTTTTAACGCAATTCTTCTAAAATTATGTTTTATATGAAGGTTGATTTAAAACTAAAAATGTGTTTTTTATAAGTTTTTGGAGTTTAGATAAGATATAGACTTTTGATGGACTCTGGGACCTTTACAAAAATTTTATGAAAACCAATCTTGTAGAATATTTTGGCTTGCTACGATTCCGGTCACAGGGAAATTGTAGAAGTAGAGAACGAACATTATTAGGAATGATTTCTTAAGAAGTCCAATTATTCTCTTATATTATGATGGAGGATTCATTCATTTTAGTCAATAAAATCTCTACCTCAGTATAGTGGCATGGGTATCATATGATGCCGACTTTAGCTAATTTTTTATTTCCACGTTTTGAATTTGAATGGATACAGTTTTTTTTTTTTATATGGATTTTTTCTCGCAATTATTTCTTACAGTTCCGAAATGGTCCTCTGATGATTTTTTCGAAATACTACAGAATAAAGTAATACATCCTTCATTTGACGGAGTCTGAAACAATGACTATCAGGTTGCTTTAACTTCGATATGATCGATAGTCATATCGGAGGAGCTTAGACTGAAGCTTAAAATTTTAATCAATTACAATAATTTATGCTATAGAATACCAAGAGATTATATGAAGTATCTGCAAACTCCGTTGAGTTATAAAAACGAGATTAAGAAGAAAAATTCGAATAATGTGCATTACATAGGATCAAATTTACCGCCTAAACTGTAATATTTATGTGCTTCTATTCTAAGACAATGATTTAGAAAAGTAAATTCAATATATAAATTCTCAATAAATTATAATTTTTAATATATACGAATAACATCATCAACTGATTTCAAACCTTCTCCCCACAATATTTCCTTCCAATAATCTATAATAACAACAATATAAATGCTTAAATTTTAAGCAAATATTTTGGAGATTGTTATCTTATTAACTTCTTTCAACATACAAGGAAATTAACTTAGCAATAATCCTTAAATCAAACAACAACAACAACCACACTAACAACATTATTATGTATTAAACTTGACTGAAGAAGAATTTTCTTATGGGCATTTGGAAAATTTATGATATTTCTTTCATGTATGTTTGAAAAATAATTGAAGTAATTTTTCATTTAAAGTTCATTTTGTAGCTTAAGGTAATACAAAATATTACGGCAAACATTTAAAGGATTGAATGTTTGGAATTCTTCTTATTCTTCTGTTTCTAATTGTGCTCGCTCATGCACATATATAGGATATATTTTCAAGTAATTTATTATTTAACAAAAGAAGGATGTGTGTATTTCATATTTTTCCAAGAACGAAATCAATGATAATGAAATATGGCATAGTCGAAAGATAACTGAAAATGATAAATTCATAAGCTAATGCTTTTCTTTTATTTGGATAATGTTAAGTTTTCGTTTGGAATTTTTGGGATACCTCGGGAGAGGGATACATTTTTTCTCTGTGATTTATTAAAACCTGAATAAGTCCATTTTTAAATGAATGATAAAGGAAAAACAAATTTCGATTCATAAGTAGAAATAATGCGAAATAATCAATATTCCGAATATAGGGAGGTACCATTATATGGGGGCTATATATACTTTGGGGGGCTATATATATTTTTTTGGTTGGGTCTAAGATGTATATTTCGAGGTGTTACAAACGGAATGATGAACCTAATATACCCTCCATTCTATGGTGAAAGGTATAAAAATATTGGGATATTTGAAATTTCCGAGAAATATAATTACTCATAATTTTGGCACGTTATGAGGGAGGTACCAAAAGAAATGGACCTATATATCCTGACTGCACACCAGATCTTGCGTTAATAACAATTGTGAAATTTGAAGTCAATCGGTCTCTTATTTCTCAATTTATAAGAGTTATAATTATTCCAAATTATGACCCTTTGTGGGGAATATGCTTGATGGAGTGGACCGATATTGTCCGAATAATCCTTTCTCGTTCTGTGAGGAAAATTATTTTCTTTGAAAATTTTGCGCATTTGTGGGAGGGTAAGAGATGGAGTGGTCCTATGTTGCCCATCTCCGAACTTGATCTATGTTTGACAATAATTTAACGATATACCAAGTTTGGTCCAAATCGAATAATCTCTTCGAGAGTTACCAACCAGGCAGACGGACGGACAACTCTAAAACGTTATTACGCCGTACCAAATG